GCCACTGTTGTAGAATGAGGCTGGCATTGGGGTGGGGGTAAGACTGAGAAAAACTGGATGAAATATGCTTACGGCATTGAAGTCTATGGGGGAGAGAATAGTCTAAAAGTATTATATTTTAGGGCATTATTTTTATCGTAGAGTATGCAATGAGGGTTGCAGAGTAGATTATATTTCGGGGTAGGAGGTGGGGTTTGGGTAGGTGTGGGGGGGGATTGTGTACCAATGAGGGAGTTTTTCTTTTGCTTTTCAAGGAGAGGAGCAAACGGGGGGGGGAGGGGTTTTTGCGGGGAGAAGGGTGCAACAATGAATGGAATGTTCATTGAAATGAAAAATAAACAACCTAAATTAAAAAAAAAGTATTGCAACTCATGGCTTGAATTTGTTCTTTGATTCCTTCAGCTTAAGAAATACTGAGCGAGTCTGACCCTTTTGGCTTTCTGACTCCAATTCTTTGCACATTTCATTTTAATACTTCGCTTTGTCTTCCCAAACTGCCCTTCAAAATCTTCTATTCAGCTCCTTAATGTCTTGATTTTTTTCCCCTTTGCTTTGGCTTCTCGGTGCTCTAGTGCAATATTCAGTGTCTCATCTGACATCTACCTTGGTCTTTTCTTCCTCCTCGTCCAGTGTAATGACCTTTTGCATTCTTCATGGATGATATTCTTGACTTCTCTAATAAATCCTACAATTGTGAATATGGGTCCGTGTACTCTATGAGCTATTGCAAAGGATATATGACCCCAAAGAACTATACGATTGGTTTTACAGTAGAAAAAGGTGTGGGAGTGTGGGATACATGTGTGACTTCATAGGAATTGGTTTTTTTGCTGTGGATGATGATGATGGGCATGCAGTTCCCTCTTGTGGAGTTAGCAGAGGCCACATACTGCTGTCCCCATGCTGTCCCTGCTCATTTTACAACATTAAAATGATATCCTTGCTTTTTACCACTTTAAAGAGTTCCTTGCAGTTTGTTGATCCACCTGGTGATCCATCAACTTTAGGAGCTTTATTTCTGGAAAAGCTTTTGTGCAGGGTGGACTTCTTTCAGTACAATTCTTGATTATATGCTACTTTCTGAAATGGTTCATATCTACCACATCTTTTTGTCACAGAGACTCTGTGTTCCTTTATTATTTTGATGCTTCCTACATGGTGCTGGAGAAGAGTACTGAATATACCATGGACTACTAGGAGAACAAAAAGGTTCTTGCTGGATAGGGTGAAACCAGGCTGATCCTTGAGGGCAAGAATTCTGAAGCCTCATCTGACAGACTTTTGGTATGTTTCAAGGAGTGACCAGTCCCTAGAGAGTGACATCATGCTTGGAATGGTGGAGGGGCAGCGCAAGAGAGGAAGATCTTGGATGAGATGCACTGACTCAGTGAATGGGGTAATGGGCATAAGTGTATCAGAGACAATGAAGTTGACTCAAGATGAGAGCAGGATTCAGGACTGTTGGACATACAGTCGCTATGAGTAGCACGAGACTGGACGGCATATAACAACAACATCACCCAATATTTTGGCCACAGAATCATTCTGTATTGCAACTCAAGGCTTGAACTTTATCAGCTTGAGAAACGATGAATGTCTTATTCCCTTTTTGTTTTCTAACTCCAGGTCTTCGAACATTTCATTATGATACTTTCTTCTGTCTTCTTGAGCTGCACTTTGAAATATTCTTTACAGATCTCTTACTTCATGCTGGACTGCATAAAGAGAAAACAGGTAAGTCTTGGAGCATGTGCAGTTAGAATGCTCCTTGGATACAAAGATGACAAAACTTTATCTCACATATTTTGGGCATGTTACTAGAAGAAGCTATTTCTTGGAGAAGGACATCGTGTTTGTAAAGGTGGAGAGTCAGTAAAAGAAAGGAAGACCTGCAATGAGACATACGTGCCAGAGATAATGAGGATGGCACAGCATACGACAGAGTTCATATCTATTGTTCAAGGGTTGCTATCAGCTGTACTCGACTCAATGGCACCTAACAATAACAAAAATCCTACAGAGCACAGTTCTTTTTTGATATACACAGGGTTCAAATTAAGTTGACAATAACAGTTTTCTCCCCCCACCTCTGGGGCTTCAGGGAGAAAATAATCAAAGTAAATATCTGTAGGACAAAAAACACATAGATACACCTGTAAAAATTTTTATAGTTTCTTGAAGCTAGGTCATATGAAAATTTTGGAACATTTGCTCTTTAAAGTCCTTTTCAATTCTAAAACTTTGTGATCATTTCCTTCAAACTCATTCTAACTGGAATTCCCTTTTTTTGATAAACACCAGTGATCTAAAGTCATCACTCAAAGATAGCTTTGAGAAATTCTCCCCTTAACTCCACTCATTGCCACTGAGATGATTCTAACTCACAGAGCCTCTTTTTTGATTCTTAGGCTGTACATTTTCCCACTTCCCCCCCACCTTTTGTTGCACATTTTCTCCCCCCCTTCATGCTACCCAGCAATGCATTCCATGTTCTAGATTGTTGTCATATGTATGAAGCCTAATCATACATTCCTTTTGAACAGTTCTTTGCCTTACCTATTCTACTGCTCTTTACTTATTCACTCTTTTCCCATTCTCTGCCTCAGCCCTCATCTGTCCTGTTTTATAACAGCTGAGAAGAGAATATCCATCCTTCTCCTGTGGTGCTGCAGAGGGTTTCAAACTGACTGGCAATACAGTCTTTTAGTTAGCAGTGCAACATGCTATGGACTATGTCATCAGACTTCCAATGAGAGGGACTGGCCCAATCATTGCAGCAATAGACTTGAGTATGTCAGAGATTATGAGGATGGCACAGGATAGGGTAGGGCTCAGATCTACTGTTCATAGGGTTGTTATGAGCCATAGTTGACTTGACAGAACCTAACAATATTATCACCAGAGCTCCAGCAATAATGTCACCAGAGCTCCAATTTTTCCCCTATGTAGATGACATTTTTCCTTCTCGACCTTTCCATTTTCTAAATACTTTCTGGATGCTTGAATTAGTGTATTTTATTCCCTGACTTCTAAATATTATAAGAGACTTCTAAATGGTCCTTCTTTTTAAACAACTGTTGTACATAGGGTCGCTATGAGTCGCAAGGGACTTGGTGGCAAATAACAACAACAACAACAACATTCTATCTGATGATTTTTATATCAGTCTTCACAGCACAAAATATGAGACAAAATTGGACTTGTTGTAAGGAGGGGCCATTCCTTGGAAAAAGCCATCACAATGGGAAAGAAACAGGGTCAGAAAAAGAGAAGACCCCCAACAAGTTGGATTGACAGAGTGACTGCAACAATGGCCTCCAGCATATCAAAAAATGTGAAGAAGGCATATAACAGAACAAGGTTTACATCTGTCCTATGTCACACAGTCTAAGTACTTCTATTTAAGATACTCCATAATTTGGCTACTGCACGTCTCTACAACTTGATTTTCTCTTATCAAATACACTCTGTATAGTAGAATTCATTATGTATTCTTATATCCAGAGTACATTACTTCTTTTGACCTTTTTCTCTAATTCTCATCTTTCTTTCAAAATCCTTTTGTGTTCTTCTCAAACTTCCAACACTGCTTTCATCAGTGATCTTTTCTTTCAAATTTTTATGATAATCTTATCTATTAATAAACACTTAAACTGTTACTTACTTTTGACCAATAAATTTTTAATTTTGACCCTGGCAAGTTTTGAAGACACTAAAAATATTTATATACCTAGCATCATACCTTTAGGCGGTTCATCAACACTTCTTTTTAACAATAATTAAAAACATGAGCATCAAGCACACAGTTCAATATATTTTTAGTAACATAAGTATAGGAATAAAATGTCCTGCTTTGTTTTTTTTAAAATGCACCCCAAATGTTACTTACTTTAACCAATATATCTTTTACAACTTGACTGCTATCATTATGAACGCTGATATAACTGGAAAAAGTCTCACCCAAAAATATATTCCTGCAAATAAAATAATGTTTAGGTAAAAATCCATTCAAGTTTTATCACAAATACATTATTTCAGCAATAAAAAGAACTTCACATGTAGAAAACAGTCTTAAAGGATAGACAGTAGGTAAAATTCTGCTTCAACATTTCTTTATTTATGTTAGGCCACTCAATCATTACTTTGTAAAATTACTAAGAATAATTTAATCTCTATCAACAAATGATTGGATTGAGAAACTGTGGTACATTCACATGATGGAAAAATATGCAGCACTCAAACACAATGATTTTGAAAAATGTAACATAGGAGAGGCTGGAGAGCATTACATTGAGTAAACTCCATCTCATAAGGACAAATACTGTATAAGACCATTTATGTAAAAATAGAAAGGTAATTAGGAAGATGTGTACAAAAGTAAAAGGGGAAATGGGAGGGGATAGGGAGGCTGTGGGTGGAGAAGGAGAAAACCATGAGGTCCCAGAGTTTGGTGGGTAGAGGGAGGGAGTGAAGGAATCAGGAAAGAGTCAATGGAGACTTGAAAAGACAAGGTAATTGTGGGCATGAATCAATGGTGATTATTTTTATAAAACAAAATGTAAGAGAATGAGAATGTGAAATACAGAGTGAACAGAGGAAATGTGTGAAACACAATGCTTACAATTTTAATAGATGTATATAATAGCATTGTACAAGTATAATTAATGTTATGAAACAAAATGTGCATGAATGATTAAATGAAAACCAATAAAGTGAAAAAAATTTAAAAATTAAAAAAGAAAAAAGATTTAATCTATAAAACATGAACTATCTTGGCACTCAGCTGGTGAAAAACTGACAGTTTCCCTTAATATGACAGTCAATGAAATAATTTTTCATGTTAAGAGTCTTAAGATTCATATTTGAAGAAGCAAAAAAGAATTTTATTTTGTAAGTGTTAAAGTAACTTATGGCCTGAATCTGGAAGAGACCAAATACTGATCTTTAGATAAAGGAATAGGGATTTTTGTATCAACATCTTTTTCCAAGATGTCCAGATATAAATAATTATCTAATGGCTTTACTTGACATAGTTTTATGTTTTTTAAAATTAGTATATTCCATGTATCCAAGACATTAATCAATGATCACATTGTACAAGCTGTCTCTGCTTCCTCAAAAAATCCTGAAAATTATCTTTTGTATCAAATCTCTCAAACCAAGGGCTATTAATAAGCTAAAATAAAAGAATACTAGAACTAGGAGGTTATTAGCTAGCAAATTTATTCACAGAAGTTGGATGAGGAATGTGAGGTTTAAAATAATACTTTTTTTAAAAAAAAAATCCCATTTAGAATACATCAGTTTTTTAAAAAAAGAATACATCAGTTAAAAGAAATATAAGGTCATAAAACACACATTAAAATATGGAAAGATTTAAAGGAAATAGTTAATAGTCAATCATTTGTGAACTACTATTGACACTATGGTATATATTTACTCCTTACTTATCAACTATTTTGTTTTCTGACATTTCACATTTATGGCAGTAGTAAAAGATCTACTATCTATTTTGCCTATTGATGATAATAGTAATAAATGTTGAGGTATGTAGCGAGAGGAAAACTGGCCATAACAGGTAAGGTTATGTGCCATCCCAGATGGGATGTTAGTCTTAGTCGTGTGTGATTAAAAATTATGCTAATTTTGCATTTATGAAATGATGAAGTTATTCTCCATTTTCGCATGATGATCTTATCTTTGGAACCTAATCACATGAATCTGTGAACAGTGGGTGCTTGTATTTTAAAGAAAATCAAAACCATACAGAATAATTCTCATAATTTTTCTTTACCAAGTAAACGTATCACAAGTATTTCCCATTTCATAGTTATTTTCTAAAACAAGATTTACAAGGAATTTGTATTTGTTATGTGACTATATATATATATATCTCATTCTTACCCAAAATTCTGTGGTAAAGTCAACATTTCTCCCAACATTAAAATTTCTGCACCATTTACAGTTGAGGGATCATCCTTCATAAGTTGGCTAAAGAGATCTCCTGTAGCAATAAAACAACATGTTATTTTAACATCTACTTTTTAGTTAAGCTTTATTCACATCTAGAAATATGGCACTTTGAGAAATACTTTAAAAATCTAATTTTGACAAAAATTCTATTTAAAAAAACTCTAATAAATTTGTTTTGTTTTGTTTTTTAATTTCCTGGCTACTGGTACCGAGAGTGTTGACCATGGAGCCAAGCAGACTAAAGTTGTTAATAGTCTCAATCTCTTCACCATCCATCCTGATGCTGCCAATTGGTCCAGTGGTGAGAATCTTTATCTTCTGGACATTGAGCCTCAATCCATACTGAAGGCTGCAGTTCTTGACCCTCTGCAGCAAGCATTTGAGGTCCTCCTCAGTTTCAGCAAGCAGGGTTGTGTCATCTGTGTAACGCAGATTGTTAATAGATCTTCCACCAATCCTGACGCCACACATCTCCTCAAAGAGCCCAAATAATCTCGGATAATCTCTTCTGCATAACAGGTTGAAAAGGTATGGAGCTAGGACACATCCCTGGCATACACCTTTCCCAATTTTGAACCATACAGTGTTTCCCTGCTCTGCTGTTAGGGACCTCTCCAGAGTACTGAAGAGCAATGGTGTCACTCTGAGACTAAGGTGAGTCTGATACAGGCTATGGTTTTTGCAATCACTAGTTATGCATCAGAGAGTCGGACAATGACTAGGGAGGATAGAACTGATGCTTTTGAGCTGTGGTGCTGGAGAAGAGTATTGAATGTACCATGGACTGCCAAGAAAACAAACAGATTCATCCTAGACAGGGTTAAACCAGGCTGCTCCTTGGAGGCAAGGATTCCGGGGCTTCGTCTGACATACTCTGGACATGTTGTAAGGATGGACAGGTCCTTGGAGAGGGACATCATGCTTGGGAGGGTGGAGGGGCGGTGCAGGGGGGAAGGCTCTCTATGACGTGGATTGATTCAGTGACTGGGGTAACTGGGATGGGTGTGTCAGAGGCAATGAGATTGGCACAGGATAGAGCAGGGTTTAGGGCTGTATATAGGGTCTCTATGAGTCATAAGCGACTCGATGGCACATAACAACAACAACAACAAATTTGAGCAAAAAACCAAAAGAAAATGCAAACAAGTTATAAAAATATGTCACAGAAAATCTTAGTATTTTAAATAAAGTGAATGCTATTTTATACAGAGTATTTGAGGAAAATGCAATTTTAATAGTATTATAATAGCAATGTACCTTTATTTAAACTAAGAGTCTCTTTTTGTTATGGGTTATTACTAGTATCCTTATTTACAGATTGAGAGTGTGGACTGCTATCCCGATAACCACTAATATGTCACCAAGACTCCTTTCCATGGTTTCATGATTTGCAACGTATAATGATGCAAAGAAGTAACATAATATTGGAAATGTTAGGCCCACTGGAAGTAGGCCACTGAACATTATATTTTTCTGTAAGTGCAAATAGAGTAAAGCAGGTACCATACCAGGTAAATCTTTTTCTTCACACGTTACTGGAATATTGGTAAATAAAGTAGGCTTCGTCAACCGCATCACTGTGAAGGAAGAAAGTAAACAAAAATCTATAATATTAATTTTTGTAAATATTACCAAGGCTTAGGTACAAAATAAATTTCACATTAATATAAAATATTACTGTAACAGGTATTCCCAACGAAGAGATTGCTTTATATAACAAGATAATTTTACTTTTATTTATAATCTAAACTATCAACAAGAGACGAAGAGATTGAGATTGTTCACAGCTTCAGTTTGCTGGGCTCCACAGTCAACACTCTTGGCACCAGCAGTCAGGAAATCAAAAAGTGTATCGCGATGGGAAAGTCTGCTGTTAGGGACCTCTCTAAGGTACTCAGGAGCAACAGTGTCTCTCTGGAGACTAAGGTATGCCTGATACAGGCCATGGTCTTTGCAATCACTTGTTATGCATCAGAGAGATGGACAATGACTAGGGAGGACAGAAGGAGAGTGGATGCTTTTGAGCTGTGGTGCTGGAGAAGAGTGCTGAATGTACCATGGACTTCCAGGAAAACAAACAGATTCATCTTGGAGAGGATTAAACCAAGCTACTCCTTGGAGGCAAGGATTCTGGGGCTTCGTCTGGCATACTTTGGACATGTTGCCAGGAGGGACGGGTCCTCGGAGAGGGACATCATGTTTGGGAGGGTGGAGGGACGGCGCAGGAGGGGAAGACCCTCTATGAGATGGATTGATTCGGTGCCTGGGGTAATCGGGATGGGTGTGTCAGAGGCAGTGCGGCTGGTGCAGGATAGAGCAGGGTTTAGGGCTGTTGTGCGTAGGGTCGCTATGAGTCGCAAACAACTCTATGGCATATAACAACAACAACCTATCAACAAAACTAGCATACATGTAACATTCCTTTTAAATTTGTCTTTAGGTGAAAGTTTTTAAGAAGCTCTGGGAGTGCAGTTTCTGATGAGCAGAAAACATGAAATAGGGGCACAGGGCCATGAGTCTCTCTGAAAGGGTCAGAGGGAGTGTCAAGAGCACAGCCCTTCACCAAGGCCCTTTGTAGGAGAAAGATGGGTAGTCTCTTTCTATAAAGGTTTATAGCTTTGGACACCCAATAGAGGGTTACCATGAGTTGAAACTGACTTGACAGCTGTAGGCTTGGGATGGAATTTTTAGGGTTGATACCACAGGATGGCCAACGACGTAAGTTCTTATAAGCAACAATCAAACAGAGCCATTCCAAAGTACAGAATATCTTCATGTAAATTTAGTACAGTAGAACATCAAATTTAGTAGTAGCAGAACTGACTTTATTCCAGAGCAGAAAAGGTGACAAATCAATAAAAGGTTGTGTGAAGTTTGTAACAATAAGCAAATTTTCTATTAAAGTGTGATGACAAATGGGAATTCTTTGACTATAGGCATCAGTGTTAACCTAGAAAAGGCCTTTATATTTGATAGCCCTGGGCAGGATTCAAGGTGAATGAACTTTGCAGAAATGTTGGGATTCCTCAAGCCTGATCCAAAGTTACTGCTTAAAGTAAGTGGAAACTAACAAGAGAAAATCACCATTAGGACAAATCATCTTTGTGCTCTCTACTCAGATCACGGTAAGGGCATGGTTGTACTTTAACATGGAAAATATAAAAATTAAGATCTAAGTTGTTGTTGTTATATGCCATCGAGTCACCTGCGACTCATAGTGCCCCTATGTATAACAACCCTAAACCCTGCTCTAACCAGTGCTAATCTTATTGTCTCTGACACACATACCCCCATTACCCCAGTCACTGAATCAGTCTATCTCACTGAGGGTCTTCCTCTCCTGCGCTGTCCCTCCACCCTCCCAAGCATGAGGTCCCTCTCCAAAGACTGGTCTATGTTATTGCATAGTTAAAAGTCTTCCTGGACTGGGTCCACCGGCCGGGAGGTGCTACCAGCTTGCTCCTTGGTTCAACGTTCTGGTGCAGCCTCCACTGGGGCCTTCAGCTCTGCTGCAGATTTGTCCATGACAGGTTTCTTTCAGTAATCTCTTTCTTCAAAGATGGTGCTTCCAATTCGGGCATATGTAGATCCCACTTCAAATACACGTTGAAAGTCCCTGGACATGCCCACGCTCAGTACAACCTTGTCAGCTGTCTTGTTTTTCACACAGCTCCTTCCAGAGGAACAATAACATCTTCAAGTCTGGATTTGGTCCTTGACTACGATCATGTCCAAAGATTCCTATGGTCATCAGCCCCAGAAACTCCAGACTTGGACACTTTGTATTTCTATGTTCCACCACAGCTGTTGTCTCTGAAGGTGGAAGGCCATGTTTGCTCTTCCCTCCACTGGTATTAATCTGTACCATAACCTTTACCTTTTTGGAGAGCTTTTTTCCCCCTGCCAGGAGCTGTTCTCTTTGTCTGTAAATTTCAGAATCCTGTTTCCAGCATGAAGGGATTGGAAACTGTCATCAATCTGTTGACATTTTGTTTCTGTAGGTGGCCAATTAAGTGTCATTTGATCTCAGGACACGAAGATAGAATTTTAGGATTTGATGATTTTTCCCAGTAGTTCCTGAATACAGTTCTCCCTGAAGGTGTGCTGGCAGTGACTGTAAGCCTCAATCACCATGTCTGTAGGTTTGGTTTTGCTGGCCATTAGCCTGGGCTGGGTGGCTGGGAGAATCCTGGCTGCTGCACCATTGCCTGTTGCATGCACTAATTCACTGTCTGCACTGTGAACCCAACACCCTGCTGTGTCAACATGCTGCCACATCCCCACGGGCCCAGAATGGAGTTCCGGATGTCAGACACCCAGCTGGAGATGAACTTCCAGTTCTCAATATATGTATTTTAAATGGATACTCATTATAAGACTCTAGACACTACAAAATAAGATTCACAAGATTGTCTTTATGGACTATGTAGGTAGTATGTAGTTGATGCAGATTAGATTTCCCCTGAGTAAATTGGACCTTTGCCTTTTAACCTGAACTTAATCCTGTGAGTATGTGGTTATATCTATAAATTTCCACAACTATGACTGTTGTGTGTGCTACTGTCCATGTTAATACTCATATTGTTATGTGCTGTTGGATTGGAATGGACTTATAGCTGACCTTACAAATGAGTTTTCAGATGCTATAAATCACATGAGAGGAGAATGTTCATTTTTCTCTTAGCAGTCCATGGTATGTTCAATACTCTTCTTCAGCACCACAACTCAAAGGCAACAATAGTCATCCTTAGTCACTGTCCAGCTCTCTCATGCATAGTAAGTAATTATGAAAACCATGGCCTAGATCAGGTGTATCTTAGTCTCCAGACTGACCTTGTTGCTCTTTAGCACTCTAGAGAGGTCCCGGACTATAGACTTTCCTATTGCACTCTGTCTTTTGATTTTCTGACTGCTGCTGTTAAGAGTGTTGATTGTGGATCCGAGCCAGAAAAACTGTTAAAAATTTCAATTTCTTCCCCTTTTATCATGATGCTGCCAAGTGGCCAAAGGGTGAAAAATCTTTGTTTTCTTGATGCTGAGCTTCAATCCATATTCAAGACTTCAGTCCTTGACCTTCTGCAATAAATGCTTCATAGTGGGTGGTTAAGAGCTCAAATACTAACCAAAAAGGTTGCAGTTCGAACTTATTTGTCACTCCTTGGGAGTAGAGACTTGGCATTTTGCTCTGGCAAAGATTATAATCACTGTGAAAAAGCATAACAGTCATTTTCTTAAAAGTGTCATATGATCCTAGGCCTCATTTCTATCATCAAAGCTCTATTTTTCAAACTATCAATTCTCTATCTTTGCTTCCAGCTTTTGCCAGTTATTATAAATGCATCCTGCTTGCATGTTTGAAAAATTTTATACTCTACAAACTGGTGGAAATCTTCAATTCCTGCATCTTTGGTGTTAATGGTTGGTGCACACATTTCAATCATATTATTTACAGGACTTCCTTGAGTGTTTATAAACTGTGTCCTATCACTGACAGCACTGTACTTCAGGAAAGATCTTGAAATGTTCTTTGTGACTATGTATGTGACACTATTCCTCTTCAATTTTACATTGGTAAAGTAGATCACATGATTGTACAATTATAAACAGCAATGTGAGTCCATATCAGATCAACAATGCCTAAGAGGTGGATCCTTATGCTTCTCCTTTCATTCTGAGAACTTCTAGTTTTCCTAGATTCATACTTCATACTGTAAGTGTTCCAATTTTTAATGGATTTTGCAGCTGTTTCTTTGGAGTCTTGTCACTTTAGCAAATGAAGGTTCTTCATTGGCTCAAGGATTCAATCCATCTCTATTGTTAAAGTTGTTGTTGTTTGTTGTTATGTGCCGTCGAGTCGTTTGCGACTCATAGCAACCCTATGCACAACAGCCCTAAACCCTGCTCTATCCTGCACCAAAGGTACTGCCTCTGACACACCCATCCCGATTACCCCAGTCACAGAATCAATCCATCTCATAGAGGGTCTTCCCCTCCTGCGCCATCCCTCCACCCTCCCAAGCATGATGTCCCTCTCCGAGGACCCGTCCCTCCTGGCAACATGTCCAAAGTATGTCAGACGAAGCCCCAGAATCCTTGCCTCCAAGGAGTAGCTTGGTTTAATCCTCTCCAAGATGAATCTGTTTGTTTTCCTGGAAGTCCATGGTACATTCAGCACTCTTCTCCAGCACCACAGCTCAAAAGCATCCACTCTCCTTCTGTCCTCCCTAGTCATTGTCCATCTCTCTGATGCATAACAAGTGATTGCAAAGACCATGGCCTGTATCAGGCGCACCTTAGTCTCCAGAGAGACACCATTGCTCCTGAGTACTTTAGAGAGGTCCCTAACAGCAGACTTTCCCATCGCGATATGCTTTGTGATTTCCGGACTGCTGGTGCCAAGAGTGTTGACTGTGGAGCCCAGCAAACTGAAGCTGTGAACAATCTCAATCTCTTCACCATCCATCCTGACGCTGCCAATTGGTCCAGTGGTGAGAATCTTTGTCTTCTTGACATTGAGCCTCAGTCCATACTGAAGGCTGTAGTCCTTGACCCTCCGCAGCAAGTGCATGAAGTCCTC